AACAACAAGAGATAACGTTACCATCAGTCTGACACATGCATACTACGTTTTGCTGCTTACTAATGAGATAAACACTACAAGAATGGATATTGCGAAACAAAATATGTGCCCATTCGCACCCCCCCGTTCAAGTATCTATGCGCACATCTATAAAAAGAGAAAGAAAGCATCTTTGTCCAATAACAGAAAGCTGTTGAACACAAGATTCTAGAATCTTATATTGTAAGGTACTTGTGTAAGGGCGTAATCCTGCACGGTCAATCTTAACATCCCACGGTGGTGGTAGATAAGTTCAATGGCTATTCTAACATTCTTCTTAATCGACTGAATATTACGGCAATAAGAATCTTACTTAAAACAATAATACTACTGGTGATAAATAAAAAACATCGTTGATTTCTTTGCTGATGTACATTCGGTTGGATGTGGGTTTAATAGGTGAAGCAACATATGATTCATAATTGCCGGCCCCTTACTGTGTGCTAGTCTATTGGGGGTAAAGAGAACTAGGGGGGATCCTCAAATAAGAGAACAGGAAATTCCGTGAATGTTTTAAGAGGCTTGGTCGTCGGGCTGCTCGTCCAGTAAAAAGGGCTGTTCCGTACTGGCTCATACTCAAAATGAATACAGAGCCAAAGTTATTTTTAATAGCTAACAGCAATAATGACAATGAACCCATTTAATTCCAATAGTTTGAACCCCTGGGGTAACAATAACCAGTATTGCTTTCTAGATAATTACGTATATGTTAAAATAAAATACTGAACATATAGATATGAATATTTTCACATGCACAATTCCAGCGCAATGTTTCCTTCTACACCTGTTGCTACAACGTGATGGAGTAAAATGAAGAAAAGGGTAATATAATGTAATGCAGATCAGAATTCCCGCAGTGATCATCTCACACTTTGAAATTTCTCAGGCCCATGCAAAATTAGCAATAATAAAAAAAAAGCTGTGAGGCAAAAATAGCACGCAGAACGATTATCGTAGTGAGACAGAAGACAGAAACAGAAAATTATACATGGTGTCCAGGAGGCCAAAAGGTGCAAAGGGCTAACACCACACCATCAGACTTGAAGCTCCAGTTGAGGAGTCCAAAAATGACTCAGATACTTTCACCAGGTGGACCTTTTAATGGAACTACAGTCTATGTATTGGGCTAAATTTGGCTAAATATGGCGTTTTGTTTTCACTGTGGATAGAAACCTTGCAGCACCATTTTGATAACATTTTAAAGGCTTATGGGTTCGGCTTGACCCATATAGTTGGAATGTTTCAGGAATCTTGAGTAATGGCTGGTACCTGGGTCGACTTCACTCTGGGCGATGCGTTATGAACGCTCCATCGAGAAAGAACAGACTGATCCCAAGGTACATTTCTGTTATGTTAAGAATACTTTATAAAAAAAGTTTCGTAACCATTTATTAGTCAGCAGAATTCAGATACGTGCTGAACAATGTCTCACCAAACTATGTTCACTCCTTTTGTGGCAAAAATCCTTTCCTCACCTCATGATATGGACCAGTTAATACATCACTGGGGTGAGGAATGGAATGATGTAGGTTGATGCAAAATCTCAAGACTTTTTGTGATGATCATTTTAAACACATCACTATGAATTATTCAGATTTCTTCTGACTATTATAATCTGTTATGTAAATCCCTCTACAGTGGTTCCAACCTGGTGGGTCAGCCAAAGCTCCACGCATGGTGGTAAGAGAACTTTAAAAATATACCAGTAGGCTATATCTTAGTATTTGTTTTATTTTTGGAAGGAGAAACTGTTCTATCATGTGAAGTTACATTGTTACATTAGATAATGTTATTGTACTGTAATCAGGGTATTAAAAAATGAGAGAGCAGTTTAAAGAAAATGTTTTGCTGCCAAGCCGCATGTCTGACCCAACATATTGAAAATCCCTCCCCCACATACATAGTATTCCAGGAATTTACTAAGAATGCACAGATTAGCTGTATCTGATATGTTTTCAGTAAACAGTATATTGGGAATGTTCAGTCCCAAAAAAACTGTGTGAAAATAAAATGGTAATGGGTAAACCGGCCTGGACTGGTAAGCGCCTCTAGTCCCTTCCGACCCAACCTCAAAGCGCTTTTACACATACGTGCCACCATTCACCCTTTCCACACACATTTCAGACAGTGGATGGTGGCAAGTCCTCCGACAGAAACTAAAACTCATTCATACACATTCACTCACCGATGAGGGCAGGAGGAGCCGGGGATCGGAACCAACAACCTTGCCCTGAATGGGGGATGACCCGCTCTGCCTGAGCCACAGCCGCCCGAAATGCGCCTCTCATTTCCATTCTTATGCTCTGCAAATGCCTGCGTAGTCCAATCAAATACATGTGAGTGGCAAACCTTCTGGAAATTGTTACAAAATACATGCAAACAACAAACTGCTGTCCATACTGGACAACGCCACACCTCTGCACAACACCTTCCCACCAGGCAAGAGGGAAGTGTGTTCCCAGTGGGCAGAACTGCTGTCCCGGTCCCTGCTTTCCACCAACAGACTAAAAAAACTCCTTTCGTCCCCCATGCAGACTGTAAATACAAGCTCCTAGTAATAGGCAAGGAGGGACAATAGACATAGGACAATTTCTACCTCCATTTTGCATCTATTTAGTTCCACCCCATCTATCCTATTCTATCTATCTATCTATCCTTATCCTATCTATCCTATCTATCTATCTATTATCCTATCTATCTATCCTTATCTATCTAGTCATCAATAATGAAGGATAATATGTGTTGCCTGCTGTGATAAACTTTCCAAAGTTGTTACGCGCTTATCTCAATAGGTTTTATAAACGTGGCGTTTGTTTTATTTTTGGTGGTCATAGAATCTATTACTCCAAACAGGCCGTTCCAATTAAATTGGTATTGAGGAGCTGGAACATCAGCTTGAGGTCCCTGGGTAATGATGTACTCAGGATAGAGGAAGGACTGTCACCACAATGGGGGCGGGTGGGGCTGGGTTCTTCCTAAAGTCCACAACCATCTCCACTGTTTTTAGAGCGTTTAGCTCCAGGTTGTTCTGGCTGCACCAGGTCACCAGATGGTCAATCTCCCATCTGTAGGCGTTGTTGATAGAATTTAAGCTCCTGGGCTCTGGAGCACGAACTCAGAAAAGGATACAATATTAAACGTAACAAAAGAAACAATGTCAACGTGTCTTCTCCCGGCTTTAAACGACTGGGAGTGTATCTCGACTTACTACATGGTCTCCTTAATGAACTGTGTCATATTTACACCTTCTGTACCAAATTCACTCAGCCTGTTTATCCAGCATTCCGTCTTAGGTCTGACTTTGAGGAAGCTCTTATGGTGCTACAGCTATTTTTAGGAGATACATTTTAGATTTGTATTTTGATCTGCAACAAAATGCACATAGTGACAGTAAATTAAATGCATCCTCCAGTAGCTCCAGTTTTTGCCTCTTATTAATTTCCTTTACATCTGAGTCACATAGCTAAGCATCTGCCTAACTATCTGGAGGTAAAAAACAAAAAACAAGTAAACATTTAACCCTTGAAACCCTGAAATTGTTCTGATATCTCTGCATACTCTATTCTCTCTATCTGGTAAAACATGAAAAATATGTCAGTTTCCTATATGTGAGGGGCGCAAACTGGGGCTAAAGATACGTTATATCTTCCATTTGAGGAAGTGCACTATTTCATGAGACAAAAAATGAAAATGTTTAAAGTCCAAATAGTACTTAACGATGCACTTTTCAGTGCTATATGGTTTTGAATGTGAAATACTATTAAAGGCACAATCCTTGATCCAAATCAACCAAAAGGCAGTCCCACCATCAAAATCAGCAGTCAAATTCAGAAACACTTTTTAATATTTTGTTTATTTTCCCCACCCTGTGGTTATAACATGAAACAACAAACATGAACTGCTCCTAATGTATATAGAGTGAGTCAAATGCAGAGGACAAATTTAATTTCATGTATGTAAAATGCTGTATATACTGTGAAATGTCAATAAAAGACTGATATTTGTATCTATGTATTTGTATCTAGCGTGAATCAGTGCTAACAGCAAATGTCAAATGTAGCAACTGATGACAGCAGACATGTTCAAATCCATGTGGGAGCAAAAATTACCTTCCTCTGTGTTCTTATACTGTGGAGAATGAAAGTTATATAAAGTCCTCTGAGGATTTATGTTGTATCGCTGTAGTGTCCTTTGCATTGTTCATAAATGAACTCAGAACCTTTGGTACAGTCAACTTTTTAATGTACAGGAAATAAAGTAGCACACAGTGGTAAACAGAGTGGCTAAAAGCTCTCTACTTTATTGAATATTCTGCTCAACATTTCCAACAGGTTTCACAGTGATTCCCTCATCAGAGCAGTAAAGCCATGAATTGAACCCCAGGTCGTGTTTAAGACACACGTGACAAAATGATTCCTTTTATATTCTATAAAATTACATATGATATATTTTTAAGCTGAGCTGCACACAAAAGAAAAGAAACAAATACTAAATTAAAATATTTGCACTTTAACTACCTTATGTCCCAATATAACCAACATCTCACATTCAACAAAAGCAAAATCAATATTATACCATTATTGTGAGTATCTGTTTCAACATTTTGCTGTTAAGAAAGAAAGAAAAAATGTGTATCAGTATACATATGTTTAGGTATTAGAATAGAAAGTTACAATTAAAAACACATAATTGATGTATCAAGCAATGCAAACTGATTATGAAGTTGTGAAGAACATTTTGAGAAGAAGGCTGTGCTTAGAATCATCATGAACTAATACATAGAAGTTACATGTACAGTCACTTCATTAGAATCAGTGATCTTGGTCCATCTGGGTTTGAATGCATTTTTGAATTTTTTAAAATGTGTTCGAGCTAAACTGGGGTGTTAAGTTGCTCTTTAAACATGATATGAAAATCCATATCCCTACAGACCAAGATCTAACAAGTATTTGTCATTGCTCTTATTCAATTGGACACACGTACATATAATTGCCTTTGTGGTAAGCATAGAAGCCTGGGTAAACAGGCTCATTGAATCTAGCTTTAAAGGTGTAGAGGTGAGTCAGTGTGTGAGAACAGACTCTGTAGTAGGACAGAGTGCCAGCAGGCCAGTCCAGAAACAACCCAACTCTGTTGGAGTATGGAGGAAGAAAAACTTCCTGCAACCTACCATTATGATATGGCCAAACTAAACCATGTAAATTTTGGCCAACACACCAAGACATTTTATTATTTCCAAGACTACTTGCTGAACTGCCGGATTTTCTGTCAATTCCCTTGTATGCAACACCGATATAAACAGGCTCATTAGAAAAATTACCGCACTCTACCTCCCAGTAATGGCGCCCCTTTAACTTCTCTTCGCCCAGAACCTGAGTATGTACGTCAAACCTGTCTGGGTGATCAGGGTATGTCTGCCATGGTCCACTTGTTGCCTTTTTCGTTTCCTCAGACAGAGTTAGGTAGTTGTTGGCAGTGCGTGGGTCCAGGTTGACATCACAAGCATCTGATGGAGAGACCAAAACAAAAGTGTTATTAGTTATTCTGATGGTCAAACAGGTTTCCGGAAGACAGTACATTCATATGGGGAATTTGTTACTCAAAACAAACATAGAAAGTGACTTACACCAGATCAAATCTTTTTTGTCTGTAATAGTCTCCACAGGAGGAAGATCGGGCTTTGAAAAATCTTTACTGATCAGAATGCCGTCCCTGTAATGGAAGATGGTTGCTCCTGTGTATTTCTTATTTTCAATGGCTGCTACAAGGAAACAGAACCGACTGTTGTTCTTCAGTGCTTTGGCAAGATGATGGATATCTTTGGCTTTTTTCCTCATTTTGGTGAAAACCTCATCTGAGTAGCACCAGTGGTCTTCAATGCTTCCTAATTCAGGTGATTTCAAGTAGCCAGCCATCGCATCAAGCCTGGGGTCAGTCAATATTCAATGAGGGGATTTTCTTTATCACAGCTTGCATGCCAGCCTGGATGTCCTGAACGCTGCTCTCATCTAACTTCTCACTGTCAAACACAAAGCAAGCATCTGCCCCATAAAGGATGCCTGTGACTACATGTGTTGCTGAACTCCTCTCAATGGTATTTATTGGTTTTTTGTCCATGGTTACAGGGTCATTCATTGATAAGTGTTTGAAGGTGGTGGTAGCGTTGTACTGAAGTGTCACTCTGCTCTGATTCTTGTATTTCTTCGTATCATTCAGATATTCTGCAGATCCTCCAACTTCAATCAGTCCACCCATGAAACTGGCCTTCAAGAAGAAGCGTTAATATCCAGCAGGGAGACTTGGATTCATGGAGTCTGATGCAGAAATTTTTAATACTGCCCTGATGAGAGGTTACTTCATGAGTTTCTTTATCCCATAATGTCACACCTGTAGAAATTGGACAACATCAGTCATCTGATAAAGCAGGAAACCCATTTTGTTAATATAAAATCACACAAAGCTAATCATGATCAAGGAAGAAAATATAAGATTGAGGGTGTATGGTAACAATATACAACATAAGTGTAATTGCACAACAACAAAAATGTTGTACCTGTAGACTTCAAATAAATAAAATATAAAAAATATTTAAAAGAGTTAAATACTGCAGTATAGTATCTTTGAAAACACAATGAGCATTGTCGTCATTAATACAAATAAAATGCTCTCAGGCAAACAAAGGCATGGGCCAGAGAGCACAGGAGAGAAGACAGCACACACAAACTTTGCGAGAGAGACACACACATATACATATGTATATATATAGATATATAGATAAATGTCTATATATACATACTATGTATATATATGTATATAATTTATAATTTACCTTCATTAAATCGCCTTAAAATGACAGCAGGCTGCTACAATATAACCATACAGAGCTCTACACACATCAGACTGGTCAGATATAACTCGATATTCTCCTTTTAGTGAAGGAGATGTCCGGTTACCAGGGCTAATCATAGCCTCATCCAACTTTCTTTTTGGCAAACACAGCGTCTCATGTTTTATCCATGAAACACTGTTGCACATTAATTGGTGGTTGTTAACAAGGTGAGAGAGTGTCAGTTAGATAGGTTATTACACCAAATCAGAGTCTTTATTTTGATACAGTATTTAATAATCGCCACCTATGATCTATATTCACCTTCACCCAGCCCTTTTCAGGTTGAGCTGCACATACATAGACCAAATTAGAAGGTGCGCATGGAGACGCCAATACAGTCTGTACAGACCACCTTGTGGTTGACATTAAGGGTGCAAATTATGAAATTCTGACTGCAATGCATGTTTGCATCCTCGTAGAACCAGGCCTGAATAATAAAAAACTATAATTACATATTATTTAAAAAAAAAAATAGCATTTAAAAACAAAAATCAAGACATGAAAAGACTGGTGGGGCATGTGCTCTTCCAGCTTGAATGGGCATGACTCGACTGTCTTGAAGCAACATCGTAATAATAGTACACATTTAAAAAAATAAGATGGCGCAGTGCCTTGATGACGTCATATTTCATTAAATATATATAGACTTTAATTCTATATATTCAAATTTCATATTATATCTAGTCTTGACTTCCAACTGGAACTGTCAGACTGATGAACTGTGATGCTGTGAGATTACTTATACCCTGTCAGATACTCTGTTCTACTGACTCCTCCCATGGCACACCTCCAGACACATGTAACAGACACCAACTGTTTTTCCACAGAGATGAATACACCTATTGGGAAATATGACTATAAAAGACCTTCCAATAATAAACAAATTTCTGTGGAAGGAATACTTAACAGTGCTTTGAATCTGATTAAGTCTGATTAACTTCTAAAACCACAATCAGGTGATACCAGAGTAATGGGAGACATTTTGCACACAGGCACTTAACATACATACATTCAACAGAAAGAGCTTTACTCAAGTTTAATAAAAACTTTTTTTTAAGAGTTTTTTACTTTGTAAACCCGTTAGATCTATAAGATGATACAAAACGCATTTTCTGAAATATTATTATTTTTTAATAGAATGAAAGCACAATGTATGTTTGCACCCAAGTGGTATGCAAATATGCTTGTTTGATCTAATTCATATTCAATGTATTATTTTCTGTGACAAAATGGTCTGTTTAAATGGCCATAATTCAGTGATTATGACCACAATTCATCCAACCTCAGAATAAGTCTTGGTCAGAATTGTCATTGCCTTTCACTATCACCCTTGTGAAGATTTTTAGTAGGATGACATTGTCAGTGCCAATTAAAATAGATATGATCAGAAATACATGCATAGAAATAGCAATAGAGCCAGCATAATGAGATTTACAGCAGTGAATGTGTAACACATCAGTACCAATTAAGTATGCTTATTTTAATGCATTTTATTGTCAGAAGACTGTTTGAAGCATGAAGCCATTCATAGAAGGGACACATCATCAGATAATGCATGAAATTGGATGCAAAGTAGGAAATTCAGCTGTAAAGTTTATCTTGTTCAATTCGCCTGCCAAACGTTATCAGTGATGACGTTTTGCAAGCAAATTTATGGTGAGATCGCCTTTCCATCATCTTGGTCATACACTGGCAACAGGTGTCTCAGTTACTCAGAAAACGATGAATAAGCCTTGATCACAAAAATAGGCAAGACCTCGACTCTCTAGTGAAGCGTTGCTGCAGCCTTAGCTGAGATTCGCCACTCGGATGGGCATTGCTACTGCTCCAATCTGTTAACATGGACAAAATGCCAAAATGTAGCCATGGATGCAACTGTGGATGCTATTGTTGCAGTTGAGTTACAGTGCAGTGATGGATACTAGCTATAAATTTCGCTATAGCAACAGGCGGTGCGGACTCGAGTCTAAGTTGTGTGACTCTCTACCACACACACACACACTACCCTCACACATCACACACTACTCTATTAAAGTGTAAATTGGGGTATTCATATATAGCTTTTTATGTAGTCATCCCTGGTACACTGGTACAATAAGTAGAGGGGAGTAAAGAATAGGTAAAAAAAAAATATACGATATATTGACACAGCTTCCTTGCCTGCCTGGATGTTCTGACTCCTGCTCTCATCTAACTTCTCACTGTCAAACACAAAGCAAGCATCTGCCCCATAAAGGATGCCTGTGACTACATGTGTTGCTGAACTCCTCTCAATGGTATTTATTGGTTTTTTGTCCATGGTTACAGGGTCATTCATTGATAAGTGTTTGAAGGTGGTGGTAGCTTTGTACTGACATGTAACACTACTCCGATTGTGGAATTTCTTCGTGTCATTCAGATATTTGGCAGATCCTCAAACTTCAATCAGTCCACCCAGGAAACTGGCCATCTGAGAAGCATCAACATCCAGCAGAGAGGACTTGGATTCAATGGAGTCAGATGCATACATTTGAAATGTGCTCTACTGCTGAGAGCTTTCAACTGTGTTCTTTTGTAGGGTAGTTCACACCTTTAAGAATTGGAACATTTTGTTACATAAAGTGACATTTATATTTCTACAACACTGCAATCACTGCAGAACAAATACTTTGTTACTGTACTTAAGTAGTTTTTTCATGTATCTGTACTTTACTTGAGTATTTAGTTTACTGACGACTTTTTACTTTTACTTCCTATATTTTTTCACAAAAATCTTACATTTTAAAAACAGGCTTGTTACTAAAGTGGGAATTTGAGCAAATTATCAATTACAGCGCTGCCACTGCATACACATGCCTGGGTTCGAATCCAACCTGCAGCCCTTTGCTGCGTGTCATTCCCTCTCTCTCTACCCACCTTTCCCTTCAGCTGTCTCTATCCAATAAAAGCATGAAATAGCCAAACAAATTACTTAAAAAAGCACAGAAGCAGCCTTAAGAGATACCTGGATTATTAATTATATTAAATAAAACTAAATACTGTTTCTAGAGCAGCAACAGCAAA